TTTGGGTGACTGTCCAGGCAGCGAGATGTCTTTGTCATTTCTAGAGTTTGAAGTTTCTTAGTTCTTGTTTACTTAGGTAATATTATATCTTTCTGGAGTCTTTGATGGAGTTAAGAATAGTTAGTTATAGTTATAGTTTTCCTTAGTTATGATAAAGATTATTGTAACTTTTACTTGATAACTGTTTTGTTATATGTAATTTTGCTATGTTAAAGTTAAAGCCTTTTTTTTTGTTTAAACCGAAAAAGGGGAAATGATGGAGGAAGGTCATTGGCTAATAAAGGCACTGCCCTGGCCCATTTTATTGGTTAGAGGATAGGTGGGAGGAGTAGGCAGAACAGGACGCTGGGAGGAAGAGGAAGTGAGCTCAGTCTCGACAGCTTTCCTCTCAGGAGCAGATCCCTGAGAGAGACGCCATGCCCCGCTCCCGGCATGAAGCTCGACCCAGGATGGACTAGGCTAGAATCTTCCCGGTAAGACTGGTTCTCACAGATTATTAGAGATGGGTTGATCGGGATGTGAGAATTAGCCAGTAAGGGCTAGGGCTAAAGGGCCAAGCAGTGATTAAATGAATACAGTTTGTGTGTTGTTATTTCGGGGCATAAGCTAGCCGAGCAGGCGGCCGGGGTGCTGGGAACGCAGCCCCGCCACTCTTATTACTTCAATCGGCCATGTATCATTATTGGTGATGTGATGCATATTGTTTTGAGCCTTAGTGGAACAGTTTTAAGAGGATCGCACATCTCCTATTGGAGGTAATGAAACAATGGCTTATGTAAAGATTGCTTAATGTATGGTGCCATTAAGGTGAGGATAAACACCTATGCAGATACGAAAGTAAGTCCTTAGGAGTAAACCCCAAGCAGCCCCTTCTCAACCCTTACAATCTGTTGAACTATCTAAAACATGGAACCTCGCAACCCTTTCTTCCTTTACGTTGTAGTCACTCACATTTCTGTATCTCCACCCCATCGTGAGAGCTGAAGTAAGCACTAATAATTAACGACTATTTGACTTGCCTCTTCTGCTTATTCATGAAACCTTGCCAAGGTGCTCTGCACCTCTGGGTGGCAGATATTAAGAGCGTGCTTGTGTTTGTCGGGAGTATCAGGATGGACACGCAAAGGAGGGCTTGGAAACCTTCAGATAACAGAGGTCCCATGGACTACATAAGCTGACATTATTATTGTCTATAATCAGATGAAAAGTCTGGAAAACTGTGTGGATTGGTGACTGTACGGGTGAGTTTTATGTCAACTTGACCTAAGTTAGAGCCTTCTGGGAAGAGGGACTGAGAAATCGCCTCCACTGGATTGGCCCGTGGGCAAGTCTATGGTGTATTTTAATTAGTAAATGATATTAAACCCATTGGTGGTGGTCTCGCCCGTGGACAGGTGGTCCTGAGCAAACCAGCAAGCGGTGTTCCCCCACGGATTCTGTATCAGCTCCTGCTCCAGGTCCCTTCCTTGTTTGAGTTCCTGCCCTGACTTCCTTCCATGACAGACTATAATGTGGAAGTCTAAGAGAAATCAACCCTTTCTTCCCCAAGTTGCTTTTCATATGGTGTTTTATCACAGCAATAGAAACCCTAATTAAGATGGCTACCAATTCTCAGGTCATTGGCTTTGACCCAAAATTGTTGCAGAATTTTCCATGGTCACATGCTAACCTTTCTAGTATTTGGGGTTGGGAGGCCTCGGAGCTGCCTGGTATAGGGCTGGCAGTCATCACAAGCTGATCTCTCTCAAGGTTGGCCTAGGACAAGACCAGTCTCTGAACTGGGGAGGGACAGAGCTCATGAAGAATATTCTCTGGCAGCACACGGCACTTCTTCAAGCCCCATGACAAAATGATGAAATATCAATCAGTTTTGACCAATACAAGAAACAATGGCTAGGATCAGAACCAGGTGCCTTTGAGACTATCCCATGGATAGCTTGTAAATTTAACCTTCAAGGGATGCCAGTTGTCTTAGTTAGGGTTTCTATTGCTGTGAAGAGACACCATGACCAAGGCAACTCTTATAAAGAAAAACACAGAGGTGGTGCTGGAGCTGAGAGTCCTACATCTTGCAGGCAACAGGAAGTCGACTGAAACACTGGGTGGTATTCTGAGCACAGGAAACCTTAAGGCCCACCCCCACAGTGACACACTTCCTCCAACAAGGCCATATCTACTTCTATAAGCCACACCTCCTAATAGTGCTACTTGCTATGAGATTATGAGGACCAATTATATTCAAACTACCATACCAATATTGTCTACAAGTCAATTTATTACTAAACTATGAAAAATGTAAAAAGTGTCTATATATGATGTTTGAATGAGAATTGCCCCAGCCTGGTTGTGGTGGCACACGCCTTTAATCCCAGCACTCAGGAGGCAGAGGCAGGGGATCTCCATGAGCTTGAGGTCAGCCTGGTCTACAGAGAATGGCCCCATAGACTCATATATTTGAATGTCTGTTTCCCAGTTGGTGGACCATTTAGGAAGGATTAGAAGGTGTGTTTTTGTTGGAGGAGGTGTGTTGCTGTAGGTGGGTTTTGAGGTTTAAAAAGCCCTTGCGAGGCTGTTTCTCATGTCTCTTCACCCCCCTTTCTCTCTTTCTCTGCCTGCCACAGTGATCATGGACTAAACCTCTGAAACTGTGAGCAAGCCCCCAATTAAATGCTTTCTTTCATAAGTTGCCTTGGACCTGGTGTCTCTTCACAGCAATAGACCAGTAACTAAGACACGTGTGTGTGTGTGTGTGTGTGTGTGTGTGTGTGTGCTTCCTCTATATATACAGTAGAGACAGTACATAGTACCTTGGTAGGACTCTCAATGCTGCAGGTGTAGAAGGAGGCCCTGGCTTGATATATTTGTTCTTATTGTATATAATTTTGTATTGGGCTGGAGAGATGGCTCAGTGGTTAAGAGCATTGCCTGCTCTTCCAAAGGTCCTGAGTTCAGTTCCCAGCAACCACATGGTGGCTCACAACCATCCTTAATGGGGTCTGGTGCCCTCTTCTGGCCTGCAGGCATACACACAGACAGAACACTGTATACATAATAAATAAAAAAAATATTTAAAAAAAATTTTTGTATTGGGCTTAGAACTCTCTTATTTAAACAAAGGGGGAGGTGCTGTAGGAATTCCTACCACCAGTAGCCTTCGGGTTACCCACCCACTTGGGCATGGCCTCTTGTACTATTTATGCCCATGTAAAGCACCCATCTGGCTTCTTTTCCGGCTTTGGGATTCGGGTGCTGTTCTCCGTTCAAGCAGAGGATTGTGACTTGTGAGTCTATCCCTAAACAAATAACCCTCTATTCTTCTCAATTCTGAGCTAATGTGGGATTTCTTTTAAGCATCCATCTTCATGCAGGTACAGGAAAAACGCAGTGGAACGATCATGTGCACTGAGATTTGTCATCTAAGTCATGAACTACTGGACTGAACCTCACCGTAATACAATGTAATATCCTGTGGTTCTAGAAAGGCCCTGCTGTGCTCCACTGAGCATCCAGGTTCAGCCCAGGGATGCAAGCAGGCAAGCAAGAACCACGGCAAGCTGGTGAGGACAGGTGAGGAGTGACGAGGGACGAGAGCAGTTGAAAGGCACGAAGGCTTGGCCACACCTTAGCACTTGCGACAGGAGGAGAGCTAGTGGTTTTCCAAGAGTAGATATAGAAGCTCTTTAAAAGGAACGCTCACGGACATCTACTCAGTAGAGGTACTGGGCAATGGTGTCCCAGAGCAAACACCAGAATCACATGGAGGGGTTACTAAAGCACACTGGCCAAAGCCCAGCTCAGCAGTTCTGATGGCGTGAGTGTACCTGAGGCAGGAGTCTGTTTCTAGAGAGTTCCCGGGTCAGGCAGATGCTGACGGATGCCGTGCAAAGAGGAACATGCTGTAGGGGGTTCCCTGAATGAACTAACTGCTGGTCAGTGTTTGGGATCTCAGGATAGGACTTGGAGGGCTGATTAAAAAACAAGTCTTCAGGGGTTGGGGATTTAGTTCAATGGTAGAGCACTCACCTAGCAAGCGCAAGGTCCTGGGTTCAGTCCTCAGCTTCAAAGAAAAGAAAGAAAAACAAGTCTTCAATATTCCTGCTCTTCCTCTCCAAATAAAGATGTCAATAAAACAGTAAAAAACTCCCAATATTTCAACAACATATAATATTATATCAGAATCTATCTGTAGATGAGTTCTTATTTTATTTTGGTTTTCAGAGACAGGAGCTCACATGCAGCCCAGGCTATATTGGAACTCATTAGTAGTACAGACTGACCTCAGACTCAGTGATTCTCCTGCCTCAGTGCCCTAAATTCTGGAATTACAGAAAGAGCCACTATTGCCCCATTTGTAGAGATGACTTTTAAAGGTAAACATTAATCCATGAGCAGTGGGGACCTCCGTACTTCTTATTGTAAGAATCAACCCTTGACATCTGTGTAAGTGAAGAATTTTATCAGAGTCTAGGTAGCCTGGCCCCAGCCCAGCATTCTCACAGCTGCACTTACCACAGCGTACACACACACACGAGCTGCTAAAGGTTCTGTTGTGAAGAGGGGAAGGTTGGGCAAATATATAAATGTCCTCTTTTCCCTTGGACCTGAGGATTCTTGTGGTCTGGGGTACAAGGGGTTCCCAAGTTCCAAAGTCCATAGTAAAGGAGAAGCACCTAGGGCATAAAGGGCAGGGCCTGGTAGTAGGGGGGTCTACTATAGTCACTGCTAGGAGGGGAGTCTACTGTAGTCACTGCAAAGTGGGCCGTCATGCTAGAAAGTAGAAGTCTTCAGGAATGGGGGCTGGAGAGATGGCTCAGAGGTTAAGAGCACTGACTGCTCTTCTAGAGGACCTGAGTTCAATTCCCAGCAACCACGTGGTGGCTCACAGCCATCTGTAATGAGATCTGGCGCCCTCTTCTGGCCTGCAGGCTTATGTGCTGGCAGCACATCATACACAAAATAAACAAACAAAAAGAAGTCTTCAGGAATTAAGAAGAGAGGCATTTTTTTTAATAAAGAAACTTTATTATCTAATTTCTGTATACAACAAATATAGGAAAAGGAGGTTTCATGTCACTTTTCAAAAGTTTCAAACTATTGGGAAAAAAGTTGTTAAAAAGCCTTCTAAGTCAAGAGTCAAAACAAATAGTGCTAATTCTCGTCACTCTTCATATCAAAAGCAAGACATTTTAGACAACATGGGGAGGCTTTGTTCCAATCATTATGACATTTGTATTGAGATTTTTAAGTACATAGAAGTGAAAAGTTTAAGTGCACAGCATACAATTGATACTGCTGCCTCTTTCTGATCTCCTCGGCATCCTCATATGGACACACTCCCTGCCTACCAGCAAATTTCTGGTTGCTCAATGGTATCATTGGAGCTGGGGATGCAGACAGGGAGGCCTGTGCATCCCGGGTTAAGTGAGCCCTCCCACAGATGACACGCACACCTCACCACATTGCCACAGTTCCCTGCACACTTCCCCCAAAAGGAAATCTGGCGCTCGACGGCTGACATTATTGCCCACCGATACTCTAGCAATATATTTCTTTAGCATAAGACAGAAATACACTGAAATTTGACACCACTTAAGTTCAAAAAGCAGTCTGAGATTAAACCGTATGCACACATCTTCCTTTCTTTCTTTTTTCTTTCAATGGATATTATATATTTTTAAAAGTTGGTGCTGGAAAAAGCTGGCTTTTTTAAAAAACAAAACAATAAAAGTTAGAAAGCAAAGTTCTTATTATTACGGTGTGTGTGTGTGTGTGTGTGTGTGTGTAATGCTATAGTACTATAAAAATGAAGGAAGAGTAACAACCCAGAGTCTCTGGGGAGGAAAGAACTCCTCATTTATCCTCTTTGTCTACTCCAACAGTGTGGTTCATATCCAAGGAACCCTGGGGAGGCCACCACACAGATGGGAGTGGACAGAAAGGGCTGTGCGTGTATCTGGAGGATGAATGTTAAGCTGTGTCAATGCCATGTGAGACCCGTGACTGTCCTTAGCCACCCTACATGGAATCCTTTGTGGTTTTGGAAAGACTCTTACTGTAGTCTGGATGCTTTGTCTTCATTCCCCCTCTTGTTTCTAGAGAAGAGTGAAGCCCATCAAGTCTGGGGAAGCCCTGGGCTTGGGGTGATGTTCAGGTAACTTTTCTGTGTGTCCATGTTAAGAGTATAAACTTCTCTAGAACTGTCTGACAATGAAGACTCACCAGGATGCCAGGACCTCCAGGGGGTACCCAGAGAAGCCCAGAAGCTTCTGGACATGGTGATGCCATGTTTCCTTGACCGAGTTTTTCATATTTACTGTGTCTAGGACTGTCATATGTCCCTTCTCATTGTCTTCAGTGCTTATGAGGAAAGATGCTGGTCTTCATAAAAATTTAGAAACATGAGTATCTATTAGAGGCGAATTTCAGTATCAGCATTCAAAGTCACGATGCATATTTGTGAGATATCACCTTTGTTTGTCCCTGTGAAAACCTCAGGCAACCATGCAGAGCCTCTCTAAGCAAAACCTGCCATATTGCTGTAAGAAAAAGTGTGGGTTTTGGTCCATCTGTTTCCACGGCAACCAACCGAGTCCACCTCTGCTCCTTCCCATTGCGAATGCCTGCTCTATGGCCATTGACACAATTAAATCAGATCAGTGTGACTTTACAATACTGATCTTAATTGTATAGCAATGTAGTAATTTTGCCCTGAGAGTATTGATATATTTTATAAATATGAGTCCTATTGTGTACATGAAGCTATAGGCACAATGAGGCTAAATGGCTTGTCCTTTGTACACACAGTGAAGTGTGGAACTTGGGCCTGACTATTCTGTCTCAATGCCCAACATCTTCCCACAGGCCTCCTGATGCTATGTGGAAGTTTGGTTTAGGTGCGGTACCTGTTAGATCCTATTGACTGTTTTGCACAGCATGGGATTATTTAGTCCTCAAGACTTTAAGAACACTTGGTCTTCTACGATCTTTCTCTTTTCTACCACCTCCATGAAGTACGTTGTCCCTAATATTTTATTTTGCACTGGGGAATCTTCTAAAATGCTCACCCAGATGTAGGTCTCATGAGGGGTGGATAGAAACGTTTATACAAAGGCAACGGGCAAGCATCCTTTGTGAGCTTTGGGCAAAAACGGGGTGCAGCACTTTACAGTTGTCTTACATTCCTCTATTTTCAAAGGAAAATCATATAAAATAAAGACCTGCCCACGAGGTAACGTTTACATCTCTGCGGCAACCCTCAGAACCCTCTTGGATCTGGCAACAATCTAACATAAGGAACGACTTTGGACCTTCACACCCTTTTAGTGAGAAAAACACCTTAGCTCAGAGTTTCCAAAGAGTTTAGGAATCTAAGACATCCCTCCATCTTTATCATAAGGCTACATGTCTGGATGCCCTGCCCTTCCCAGCTCTACTCCCTGCCCCTGAGCACCAGGAAAACTCTGGTTTCTCCTTAGAAGACCAAACAGCCTCCACCGCTTAGTAAGAAGGGGTGAACCCACATCAAAACTAAAGGAAGTTATATGCTGAAAGAAAAAAAATGCCAAGGCTGCTCAGAAGCTTGTGGAAAAGCTCCACAAAGCTATCGCCATTTGCAAGATCTCCACACAGATCATGATCTAGTCAACAGCAGAATACATGGGTAGACAGAACTTCTGGAGAGAGAGAGAGAGAGAGAGAGAGAGAGAGAGAGAGAGAGAGAGAGAACAATTTCAATAACATAAATTGCCCTTATAGCTTCTGAAAAAATAACTCTGTTAAGATGAACCATTTTTGGTTTTTCAATCAGCTGTGCACTAAGACCCTTTGTTCCCACCAGGCTCCTGGATTCTACAGCTCTGCTCTGTCTGCCGATGCTGGGCTGCTGCTAGCTCTGCCGCTGCCTCCTTCTGCCTCACTGCTGTCTGTGGGAGTGAAAGACAAGGAGGCCGAATTGATGCAGTATCTTTTGCCGGTCGGACGAGGTCCATCATCAAAAATGTGTCCAAGATGAGCACCACACTGTAAGAGAAAAGGGATGTTGAAGGCAGACACATGCACAGAGCAGGCTCTAGGGGAATGCACGCTACGCAGTCCGAGTGGATGGCTGGTCTGTGCAGAAATGATGGAAAGCATCCTGGACCATTTCTATTCTGACTGTCAATAGCTGCTGAGACGCTTTCAGACAAGCTTTGTACCACATGTCGAGAATAAAAACACTGGAATTGTGTGTATCAGAAATCATTAGGAGCCACTGTATGTTATGACCGGTGAACTCTCTCAGCCAGCTGGAAAACAACTGCAATAATTTTTTTGAATTGAATTGACCCTTGATCTCCCCTTGTAAGAAACAAGAATGAAATCTCTTCCCCCGGCATGATTTTTGGCTTTGGATAGGTGGGTTTCAGATATGCAGATGTCTACTGTAAAAGATACTGTTCAACTGGCCATGACAGAGGTGATGGTGGTTTTCACGGGCAGTAAAACTTAACATCAGCACTGGATGTTCTTGAAACCCAATGAAGCAGTGGCAAGACTCAGGAGATTTATATCATGGTCACCAAAGCTTCAAATGTAGCAAGTGGAAAGTTCCCAGCCCACACAATTGCTTTTTCCTAGCTTCTAATAGGTGGATTGATGCAATGGCTTCCCATCCACCACCAAATGAACTAAAGATACAGAGAAGGAAAAGGATATTCATCAAAACACCAAGGAAGGAGAAAGGCGGAAGGACTGTTGTATGTTGAGTTTAAAAGACTAGATGCGGTGATTGGAAGCTGTGGTAGGATTCAGTGGTTAGATCAGTGTTGGATGCTGTGACTGGATGCAGTGGTTGGATACAGTGGTTGGCTACAGTGGTTGGATATAGTGGTTGGATGCTGTAGTTGGATGCTGTGGTTGGATGCAGTGGTTGGATACAGTGGTTGGATGCAGTGGTTGGATGCAGTGGTTGGATGCAGTGGTTGGATGCTGTGGTTAGAGGCAGTGGTTGGATATAGTGGTTGGATGCAGTGGTTGGATGCAATGGTTGGATACAGTGGTTGGATACAGTGGATGGATGCAGTGGTTGGATACAGTGGATGGATGCAGTGGTTGGATGCAATGGTTGGATACAGTGGATGGATGCTGTGGTTAGAGGCAGTGGTTGGATACAGTGGTTGGATGCTGTGGTTGGATACAGTGGATGGATGCAGTGGTTGGATACAGTGGATGGATGCAGTGGTTGGATACAGTGGATGGATGCTGTGGTTGGATGCAATGGTTGGATACAGTGGTTGGATGCTGTGGTTGGATACAGTGGATGGATGCTGTAGTTGGATGCTGTGGTTGGATGCAGTGGTTGGATGCAGTGGTTGGATGCAATGGTTGGATACAGTGGTTGGATGCTGTGGTTGGCTACAGTGGTTGGATATAGTGGTTGGATGTTGTGACTGGATGCAGTGGTTGGATGCTGTGGTTGGATACAGTGGTTGGATGCTGTGGTTGGATTCAGTGGATGGATTCAGTGGTTGGATGCAGTGGTTGGATATAGTGGTTGGATACAGTGGATGGATGCTGTGGTTGGATGCAATGGTTGGATACAGTGGTTGGATGCTGTGGTTGGATACAGTGGATGGATGCAGTGGTTGGATGCTGTGGTTGGATACAGTGGATGGATGCAGTGGTTGGATGCTGTGGTTGGATGCAGTGGTTGGATGCTGTGGTTAGAGGCAGTGGTTGGATGCAGTGGTTGGATATAGTGGTTGGATACAGTGGATGGATGCTGTGGTTGGATGCAATGGTTGGATACAGTGGTTGGATGCTGTGGTTGGATACAGTGGTTGGATACAGTGGTTGGATACAGTGGTTGGATGCTGTGGTTGGATGCTGTGGTTGGATACAGTGGATGGATGCAGTGGTTGGATGCTGTGGTTGGATTCAGTGGTTGGATGCTGTGGTTGGATACAGTGGACGGATGCAGTGGTTGGATGCAGTGGTTGGATATAGTGGTTGGATACAGTGGATGGATGCAGTGGTTGGATATAGTGGTTGGATACAGTGGATGGATGCAGTGGTTGGATGCAGTGGTTGGATATAGTGGTTGGATACAGTGGATGGATGCTGTGGTTGGATACAGTGGATGGATGCAGTGGTTGGATACAGTGGATGGATGCAGTGGTTGGATATAGTGGTTGGATACAGTGGTTGGATGCTGTGGTTGGATTCAGTGGTTGGATACAGTGGATGGATGCTGTGGTTGGATGCAATGGTTGGATACAGTGGTTGGATGTTGTGACTGGATGCTGTGGTTAGATGCAATGTTGGATGCAGTGTTGGATGCAGCCATTGGACCAGTTTCTCCACAAAGGCTAGCTACTAAATAAACGCTTTCTCTAACTGTTTTGAAGCTGAGTAGAGCTCTAGATGGTGATATGTACCATATGCACACATCTCCCACTTCTCAACAGGGATGGGGAGATAGATGGAGGCATCAGTGTACCACCTTCACCAGGCTTTGGAAACACAGAACTCATCATGCAGCAAAGAAACCAATGGCTAGTCAATGATTTCCATTGACGTGTTTAACTGGTAACTATGGAGTTCCTGTTACATGCCAGGCACAGTCCTGCATTCTGGAGATTCAGGCAACAATCCCTAGCCCCTGAGCACTTATCTGCCAGTAGGAAATACCGACAATAAACAAGAAAACCAGTGACCCATAAAGTGTGGCCAGTAGAAATCAGCTAAGAAGAGAAGACAGAGGAAAGAGAAAATATCAAGGTATCGGGAAGCCTCCTTGTGGCTTTGGAAACATAAGTGAAGGAAGTGGGCAAGGGAGGAAAGATTGACAATTTAGGTAAATGTTCGATGGGAAGGGCTTATAGATAGATGACTTATTCTATTCTGCTCAATGAGATGCTTATAAAACACTTACAAATTAAGAAGGGTATATGAATTCACACGGAGCTGGGGTCGAGCTGCAGTGGGGACAATGAGACAGAAATGATGGGGGATGCTCTCACAACAGAAACACCTGGACTCTCAGTGTGCCCTCTGAAGGTGCTAAGCTCAATACAAAAGGGTCCTCTGGTTACTATTGAACAGCCAGCACCCATAGCAGCTTTGGCTTCATGGCACCTCTGTGCTAAAGGTGCAGCCTTATATTGCTAAAAACATATTGTGTCAGTTTATTAAAGAACTAAAAATGAACCCCAAACTGATTTGATCAATTGTCTGGAAAATATGAAACAGGCCTGAAAAACAAATCTTGCATTATTTTTTATCACAGTCTATGCAGGTTTAGGCAATATCAAAGATGACAGCTCAGATTGCTTTTCCTTTCTATGAACAACTGTGACCAAATATTCAGGGATCAGCAGCTAAGATACACCAGAAAAACGCCATATGCTTGCCCTGTGGACATAGAAAAACACCTATTTCTGTCTGGCACAGCATTCAAGGAGCAGGCCAACAGGAACTAGTATTCTCAGTGACTATGCACAGTTACTGATTTCATGTGCAGATCAGCTACTTTGATCACTCAGCATCGGAGAGGGGAAGCATGCATATAAAAGACAGAGGTGGGGTGTGTGTACGTGCATATGTGCGTGCGTGCACATCATGTCATTGAGTTGTTGAGAGAACACAGCTTGCTGGTCAAAATAAATGATGCTGCTCCCAATCATTCACTATCTTGTGAGCATTCCTCCCTTTCAAAAAAGTGTGATAAGGACAGACAGGAAGCCGGTTAGAAGTTATGTGCTCTTCACTTCCTACATCTTTTTTGGGGGGTTGGGGGGAATGACAGTAATTCAATCTGTTGGACTAAGTTGATTTTCAATATGTCCTTGTATTTGCTAATTAGGAACAAGTCTGGATTAGACAGAAAGGGAAGTTCACTTCAAAATGTATTCCTGATACAAGTAAAGGAAAAAGAGAAAAACCACCGTTAGGAGAGAACAACAGCTGTCTGCTAGCAAACGCCAGAGGTGATGTCATGGTGTCTACCACAAGACGCTCCAGAGTGGTGGTTCTCACCCTGAGGGTCACAACCCTTTTGGGGTCGCAGACCAGATATCCCTTATAGCAGATATTTATGTTCTGATTCCTAACAGTAGCAAAATTAGTTATGAAGTAGCAACAAAAATAATTTTGTTTGGGGTCAGCACCACATGAGGAGCTGTATCCAAGTGTGGCGGTGTTAGGAAGGTGAGACCCGCTGCAGGGAAGCCTGTTCGCGAGGTCACAAACTGTAGCACGGGTGTCCATGTCTACCTCTGCCACCGCATCGGTGCCTACCATCCAATGCTCACTGTTTCTCGGGAAAGACTAACCTCCCAAGCAGGCTTCCTCTCAGGTATACGGGTCTGGACTCAAGAGTACACCAGACAAGGGAGTGAGTGCACGTGGAGCCCATTCGCTCCAGCTTCGAGCCCGGCTAGAGGCCCGGATGATGGATGGGCGTTGTCAGTGACGCGCTGTTTCCTTAGATGCCTGTGAGCTCTGTCCCCCCCCCCCCCCTTAGTCAATTGGTGGTGTGCTGGGCTCACTCAGCACACCTGGTAGTAACTGAAGCAAACTGATGAAGAAATCTCTGAACCCTGCTGTTAGTGATTTCGTCCGGGATGGAATCTCTAGTGTGTGCTTCAGAGTTCTCTTGGTGCCTATGCAGCTCTTTATCTTAAGGGAAACACTGCACCTGAGCACCCTGGTCCTTACTCCAAAGATGCTCATGAAAACAGTTCAAAGGGGAAAATCAAGTGCCATGGGAGTCCTTCCTCCTCAGCCTTCCAGTCCCGAGTGCTCAGGGACGGGGCCTGCAGAGAGCACAGGACCAGGGTAACCTAGAGAAGCCACCGAGAACCCGACTGCAGGGATCACCCATGGCCTGAGAAACACACAGACTGCGTCCCCATGGAGGCACAGATGGGCTTCCCACTGTCCCGGAGGCCTTTCTCCCTGCCGGCCCGCTCTAGGACGCCGGCTCTTTGTTACTGTCAGTTTCTCTGAAGCGTTTGATCTGCAGCATGAAGCACTTTCAAAGCCAGGCTTTACACGTGGGCATGAGGGGAAGAGGAAAGAGTTTCCAAGAGAAAAGCAATTTACTTTGCCATTTAGTAGTTTCCTCCCACCATGCCTTGGGACACCTGTGTGTAAGTAGGGACCCCGCTTCTCTGTGCTTGCAATATTAACCTTTTGTCAAGGAAACACTGTGCAGTCACCAGGTTAGTATTACGATTTTACTGGAAGCTCAGGGAAGAGAGATGGGCTAAGCCCCACCGTGACACACGGGCGTCTTCAGCAGCAGCGACATAGGAGCTGTCGTCTGCTGGAGATTAATAAGCTTGGAGCTTTGCTAGAGCATTGCTTAACTTTTGAAAGTTTCTTCATATTTGTGCATAGTCACCTTTCCGTTGATTTGGTTAATGAGATGAGTTAATAATTGATCTAAAGCAAATTTAAAGGACTCTCTGATAGCTCCAACAGTGACGGCAGCAGTGACAAAGAGACTGTAACTTCAGTAAACTTGGACTTGATGGTTCCCTTCAAGATTATTACCTAGTGGAGTCATTCATTAGGTTACCACTCACTCTGGAGGTAAAATTCTGACCTGAATTCTTTTCTGATATTGCCAGGAGACCCTGACTTGGCAGGACTAACCTTGAAAGATTACCTCTTTGACCGTCTTGAAGCCCCTGGCAGAGTGCAGATGGCCAGCAGGGGGTTGGGAAGACTGGGCCAGAGAAGTCCTCCTCGGGCCTCTGAACCCAGGAGAGAAGCAGTGTCTCTGTCTGCTCAAGGACAAAGCCTTTGGAAAGCAGAGTCAGACAGTCTGGTGACAGATGTGGAGGAGGTGGACATGAAGTGTGCTGGCTCCCTATGACAACAGGGAGAGACTGTGGTCTTTGCTACAGGGCCAAGCGCTGGACAACTTTTGTGAGAATGACCTCATTTTGACATAGTCTCTGTGATCATCTCAGGACACCTTCATAAAGGCCTTTCCTTAGTGATTGCCAATACTATCTCTCCTGGTACAGGACTAGAAGGAAGTCCAGCTCAACCCTGAATTACAGGAATTAGACACAAACATCAGAAATTAGGGATTTGAGTTAATATTGACTGACTCTGTTTCCTTGTCTAGAGAACTTAGAATTAAAGATGTGTTATGAACGACTTTAACACAGTTTTCACAAAGAGGGGCGATGCCTGGGGCTGGTAAAATGGCCCACAGGAGAATCTGGGTGCAGTCTCTGGAACCCACACTTTGAAAGGAGAGAAATGACTTCTGACCCCACACACAGGCTGTGGTGTATGTACAGGGAGGGATGCATGCATGCATACACACATATATGAGAGATGTTTACTAGTTACCATGTACCTACACCTCAAATTAGAATATCATCCTTCCTAGAACATTACCTTTTGTCTAAAATTTTAGATTCTTGAATAGATAATCTCAGGTGATTCCTGGACAGTTGGTGTGGGAGGGCCTTCTGTCTCTGTGTTGATTTTATTGGCTAATGAATAAAGAAACTGCCTTGGCCTGTTGATAGGGCAGAACTTAGGTAGGCAGGAAAAAGTGGACTGAATGCTGGGAGAAAGAAGGCAGAGAGAGAGAGAGAGAGAGAGAGAGAGAGAGAGAGAGAGAGAAAAGCCACGGAGCCACCAGAGACAGACATGCCAAAACTTTAGCCGGTAAGCCACGTGGCGATACACAGATGAACAGAAATGGGTTAAATTAAGATGTAAGAGTTAGTAAATAAGAAGTTAGAGCTAATGGGACAAGCAGTGATTTAATTAACACAGTTTGTGTGTGATTATTTTCGGTCTAAGCTAGCTGGGCAGCCGGAAACCAACAAGCAGCTTCCTCCGACAGACAGTTATTACATTTTCAACCATAATTCAATCTAATGAAAAAGTGAATCACAGTAAAGCAAATGCTGGGGAATCTCTCCAACTTGACCCTTTGTGGTGTCTCTTCTCCCTGCCACACACCCTTCTTCAATAGGGTGTTCTGGAGTCAGATTATCTCCATGCAAATCTCAGCTCTGTCATTAGGGCTACACAACTTTACCCAAGCAACCACCTTCTCTGGGCCTTATTTTCCCCAACTGTAAAATGAGGAGAATAAGGCTATTGTGAGCATTAACCAGGGGAACATTAGAAAGTGATATTGTGGAGGCAATGATCAGCGCACTTAAACCCAGCATGAGAGAGTCCCAGCTATCGTGCTCAGACCCATTTCTCGGAGCTGGGCAAGCCAAAAACGCGAGTTAAAGGAATGATGGTACGCCTTTCAAGGGAGAAGGGTCTTCACGTGGAAGATAGTATACTTGAAAACCTTACCTTTTAACTAAAAACAAATTCTGCATGTATTGAAACTGTCAAAGAACAAATTTAGTAATAAAACAAAAACTAGAAATTCATCAGATGGTCAAGTTTGAACAAATACCCTTCCCTCTTGACAGTAAAAACACCACCCACTCTCTAAGAATCTTGGAACGGCTGAAGGTGAGAAATTGGATAAAGGACAGGCAGAATAGTCCCAAGGGAAGCCCACACGGTGCTCACTGTGCCCTGCAGCCACCCAAACGGTACCTCTCTTCATTCAATCTGTACAAAAGCATCTTCCAACAAAACACTCTTGGGTACCAGTAAATGTTAGTACCCCAATCCTCAGAACCCTTCTTTCGCTCGTTGGGGCAGACACAAACTGGATACTTTTTCTGTAGAACATGCCATGGCTCCTTCTCTGCATGGGCATGTCAGCCATGTCTCTTGGGTAGCCACAAAATACCAGTAAGTTACAGTCTCTCAGTGCATTAACTGTTTTCACTGCCCCCTCAAAACATTTTCACTTTCTTCCTTAGAAGCAGCATCGATTTGGGTACAGAAGAATGGGCAGAACTAAATAGAGCATCCTTAGAAATACGGACAAATACAGACACTAGCAGAAACACACCAAGAGCTGCCTTAGCTTGGACTCCCCTTTAACTAACCTTGAGCTAGCCTACCACTCAACTTCCACTTCCGGTGACTTCTCTCCAACCTCTCCCCAGGAAAAGCCATGTCTGAGATCTTCACAGACTGTGTTTGGATCAGAGCCATTAAAGATATCAAGAATAAAGATTGGGTAATAGAACTGCAGAAGCCAAGCTATCATTACATCATACGCAAGGCTATATAATGAAATCACCATATGTCCCCAAAATGCCCCATTCACTACTACAGTAGATCAAATGAAAAAGCCTCCCCCTACCAATCAATGACTGGTTAATATCGTTGAAGCCAATGACCGACACTGTGTTAGTCTTGCTAAACATCTAAAGATGGAGGAATCATTCAGACTTTAAAAAGGATCCAATATGTTTGTCCATCCCTCTTTTGAACAGTCCCTTGGCCTGTGTTTGCAGGACAGAGCGAGCACCCTACTGGGGACACAGGTGGGGTCAACTCACCTGAGAGCAGCTTGTCTCCACTCTGTGCATCCCATAGGAAAAATCGTCTGTGAACTCGATGGCCTCAGAGTTGATCACGTCATGAAAGGAAGGCCAACCTGGTGTGGGCCAAACGGGAGGAGACAAAACCTTGCGTTAGAGTCTCAAGGTCAATGAAGCAAAGGAGGCAAAGCCTCAGTCACGACTAATGCTGGGCATCTTCAGCCTGGAAGAAAGGGTCAAAGCCACAAGAGAACAATTGCATAGAAGTTCGACCCTTTTCTCATGCTGAGGCAACAGCAGAGCCGGGCTAGTGTGTGCTTCCTGAGACAGCCTTGGATCAACGGATAGTCTCTGAGAATATTCCAAGACTTCGGAAAGCTCTGTCATCACGTCTTCTTGTCTTCAGGGTCATGAGGCATGACTGAGAAGCACTATTAATCTTCCTTTGTGGCATTTTCCAAAACAACCAATTGATTTGGGTAATTTTTCCAACTATTTCACACTTCTTTAGAAAATCATGTCTTTTCAATTCTCAGCTTTATATGGTTAAAAATAAAAAAGATGGTTATCCTATTAACTACCTCCATCTAATTTCCTTCCTGGTCTAGTGTATCTGGCACAGAGCATGTTTCTGTGGGTGAATGCCTTGCTCACCTCCCAGGAAAAGCTGCGCGAGCAGCTGCCCAGGCATCTAGACGGAGCGTTATTTCTACGATAGCATCCTCTCCGGTTCCCACACAGTTTATCAGTGCAAGAAACTCTTGGTGAGTAGAGCACACTTTGGATACACTTTGGGTTTGTTTGGTTTTGGTTTTGTAATGTTTGTTCCAAAGATGCCCAAGCTCCTGAAGGCTGCTGAGGAAAGAGGTACCAGGCTGGGAGCTGCTGGCATAACTATTGTTTCCTCTCATTTTTTCCCACAGAAAGGAAGAGCCACTTAAGAACTGTGCTCACTTTATTACACACACTGAAAGAAAATGGTGTGCACTCCAACAACAGGATTTGCACTTTCAAACAATTAGCTCCTTGCCAAGTTCTCCTCAGAAACTTGCCCAAACTCCTCACTCCCACACCCCACAGAGCGCAGGCTGCTTTAGGTCACAGCTAAACTTCCCAGCAGGACCTGAAGCACTCCCGGTTCCTTCAGAGAGCTCAGGACTCCTACGCAGCAGGGAAGCCTCACCCTGAACACAGCTCCACTCTTCTGAGACTCCACTGCTGTAAGTAACCCACGACTCACTACCCTCTCAACCCTAAACCCACCTCCAACGCATGCAAGGCTGCGCCATTTGCTGTACAATGGCTGCTTTCTGCATTTAGGTGTTCTTTGTTAAATCACAGAAGTGCCAGCTGCTAGTGAGGGTAAATTTCATGGTGACACTTACAGAATAAATGAATGAAGTCATTTATCTAGGAAAAGAAAGAAAATGTGGTGTATTGTCCTCTTTAAACCTTCCACCGCACAACACATTTGAAAGCAGTTGAAGGCACCTGATGCCAGTATTGGGGGGGGGGGGTAGAATCTTTGGGCCTGACGCGGCAGCAGAAGATAAAAGACCAGACTCTGGTTTCAACTTCGCTAGGAACTGAGACACAAATGTGTCTCCCCTCTGTGCTACTCTGCTTTCTATACAGCCTCATCTTTTTGTTTATATGCCCTGAGATTCTCCAGCATGGCTCCATGCCTTCTTCCTGACCAGGTGGTAAGTACTTGAAGGCAGTCTAAACTCACGGCTCACAGCTGACACAGCTCGACAGCTCGGAGGGCAGCATGGTCCCTTAGCACCCTTAGTTACCAGGAAGCATGAAACAAGGGGATGAATGAGCAAAGTACATCACAGAGGCCTGGGGGGGGGGGGGAAGAACAGAGAGAGAGGAGGGAGAGAGAGAGGAGAGAGAGGAGAGAGAACAGAGAGAGAGGAGAGAGAAAACAGGGAGAGAGAGAGAGGAGAGGGAGAACAGAGAGAGAGAGGAGAGAGAAAGCAGGGAGAGAGAGAGAAGAGAGAGAACAGAGAGAGAGGAGAGAAGAGAGAGAGGAAAGAGAGAACAGAGAGAGAAAACAGAGAGACAGAGGAGAGAGAGACAGAGAGAGAGACACACACACACATCCTCCTTTCTAACACACGGAGGTATCCAGTTTAGCTCGGTCACTGCAATTAGGATTAAGCTCTGTGCACAGCTAGGGAGTTGTTCATTATGTCCATGGAGCAGTGGAAATACACACAACATTGAGCCACTCATTTTGCAGAACTTTTCAGTAGAGAGCAGTGGATGCAGAAGCGGAGAATAGCGGAACCAAAGCTAGAATCTGATAACTTGACATCAGCCTAGGGACCCCTTCTCACACCCCACTATTCCTCTATCAAAAGTTGAGCGGTCTTTCACTTGAGTACTTCCTGGAAGGCGGCTGCATGCTTTATGGAGTTGGTTTAATGTCCCAGGTTGACCATGGCCTGTTTCCTCTGGAAGCTGATAATGAATGAATAACATTGTTTTCGAATGTTGAGACTATTCACAGGGAAACACCCAAAAGCCACGATGTGAGCGGATCTAGTGTGGAGGCTATATAAATTTTATTCATTTATTTCAGCCACCACAAAGACAGAGCAAACTCAATTTGAGTAATCTGGCCGACCATAAAGAAACACATTTTGTCAACCTGAGTTAAATGTTCACAAAAATTTTCCAAAAGGCCATATTCAAAAGCAGAGAATGGCAGGGAGGGCAAAACAGTATGGATGTGCTCCAAAAAACTCCCATGTTGCTGGGAAACTAATGATGTCTGAATAGTTTGTCGTTTGCTATGCTATTAACATTGGAGGAGACACTAAAAATAAATCCCTAAAGACATTTCAATATTCCTCCAATTTGCAGTGTTCTCGAGCACTGTGGAAGAAGGCACTTTAAAAATCAGATGTTCGGCAAGCCATTCAGTTCTTAATCAGTGGGACGCAACAAGAGAAAAAATTCCTGTGGCGGATCGCGGTTCCAAAGAGGATAGGGAAACCCCCGGTTGTTTTGCTGTGTCTCTCAGAGAAGTGAACTGCACTAGTGAGCAAATCTGTCAGGAAGGTTCGTCCTTAAGGACAATCAAGCTGAGGAGGACCATCACCAGGAATAAATTGTCTTCTGACAGGGACCCACGGTGATGACAGCACTCTGGAAGCGGAATTCCCTCATCATGTGATAGTATTTAAAGGAGGAACTCTTCACTGCTGTAAAAGGCCTCAAAGGAAACCCTGCCCCCACTGCTAATACCAAGGAGAGTGCTTCAAAGGGTGATAGGCAGGGACTGAAGCAATCTGCGCCTTGTTGAGAAAATTATCTTGAGCAAAAAGGAGGGGGGAGGGAAGTGTGTTTATGTCAGTTTTGACATTAAAGAAACATCATCTCTCCTCCTTTCTCTGGCTTTTCCTTTTGGTCTTCTCATCCAACAAAACATCATTTGTTTTGGATGTGTTCCATGCACTTTTTAAGTCATATGAAAACCTGTATAAACAGGGGCTCCCTCCACCGCCGTCTGCCTTTGTTTCTATTTGATGAGCTTGGATCGGGGCCTATTATCATTCCGTTTCAAAGAACATAAACTCTACTTTTTAGATCGCAGCCGACGAGTATCAAGAATGTCTTATTTTTAATAAATATATTCTCCCTTGGAGGAATTCTCATCTCAAGATGGTAAACACAGCGACTACAAGGAGAAGAGGCCACTTGGAGTGCAACGGTGCTGCCTTGATTCCGTTCAACAATCAGGCCACATGATCTGCGATTGTATCTTAACTTTCTGTATATAAGGGGCAAATTCAGGACATGCTCATTGATGTCTCTGACCCAAAGCAAATGATCCAAGTTATTATCACTAAGTTGTCCCTTGGCAGTCCTTATCTACAGTACAACAGACTTAGTAATGACGAAAAAACTAATTATCTCAATTGACCCACAGTGCAGCTATACAGGTGCTCTAAGTGTTTTCCACTCACAACCAAGCATGGCCTGCTGCTCCCCAAGCAGTGTGGACAAAGTTTAGAATTTGCACTTCAATTTCTTCCCAGGAAAAAGTTTCTCAGCTTCCCGGGCCTATCTCTTCCTCTTTTCTTTCAAAACGTTTTTTTTTTTTTTAAACATTCATTGTTAAAATTAGCAACAGGTTCTAAATCAGCTGGAAGCCGATCCCATCTGCACCGTGTCCACAAACGTGACCCTTATTTTCCGCTCTTCAGAAGGGTGGGTATGCAGCGCCTGCCTCCCCTGCATTCTTCCCTTGCTCCTAACCCAGTTAGGATCTCAGGAAGGTGGCTACATGATCAGTCAGTAGGCAACAGTAGAAACTTGAACAAAAATTTATTGGCTTGAAAGATAATTCCAAAGATGCTATCTGAACATAGACTAAGTCCCAACACACTAAATTCCAGTTGGTCTTGGGCGATATCAAGTAATCATGAGTTTTATCTGAGCACAATTTTGGTGAAAACTCATATTAGTGTATGCCAGGTCTCATAGCTCTATAAGTCTAAATATTTCAAAATTTATAAGTTTGGGATTTTCTAAAACCTGAATCTATTCACCTCCCTGACCACAATTTACCTTCTTAGCTAGGCCAAGACAAATAATAACAGGTCTCCTGCAGACAAGAATTGTTTGAGGCTTAGATCCCTAATCCTCGTGAAATTATTCACTGGAACTGACATTTCCAGTGTAACTTTTATCTCATTTTAAAAAAGGATGACTCTCCGCTCTCCTTCAAAGACCCCATTTGGTTGCAATCTAGTCTTCCGAAAGTATTAGTAACCAGAGAAATAGATGCACGAGCAGAAAAGCACAAGGCAGACGGCTCAGCATGAGTTTTTCCTTTCCGTCCCCACCTACCTACAGCCAAGCATGATTGGGAGTTTTCCTCTTTACTTCTTTTTTAAAGGTCCTTATTCTAACATCTCTTGATTTGCTCACCTTAACCTGTGCTGTTCCAATGCGGTAGTTACTAGTCACTTCCAGACAGCCCCCTGTCAAGCCCTCAGCAATCAAACATTCCAGATGACGGCTGCTATTTGGACAGCACAGACACACAGAGAACATTCTTCCCATGATGTCTACAGTCCAGAAGACTTCTACCACTAGA